CCAGGGAACGTCGCCTCTACTGCAATGGCCTGACGTGTTACCGCTGAGATACTCTCTTTGGTCTGGGTTCAGTTCCACAATTAAGAACGGCGAACGTGTGACTTAGAGGAAAATGACGCGAGACTTGAACGTGAACATCGAAGGGCGGATAATGCACAATGCGCCCAGCGACGGCGCTCCCAGAAAATAGTGCGTCTCAAGATTTTGGTGCAAAAGGGGAATAAATCCAAAATGACCTACTCGTGTCGCTGCTTATTAAGATTATTATTAGATTAATCCAAAAAAAGGCAAATTTGTGCGATCGTCGAATATTTTTGTCCGCTCGGATACTGCAGCCGCGTTCTGTCGATATTACGTCACGCCTTCCGGAACACCGGAAGAAATTCTGTGGTCCTGTAAACCGGAAGTGCATTCGACCGGAACCGTATCGTCTTCTTTCAGAAATGTTATGAAACGAGGAGCCTGCTCGCTTCCTTCCTCTTCATTATTCTTGCAATTTCCTTCTTCTGGTATTGTTTCTTATTCAACTTTTCCACGGACCTCATCCTCACGCTGAGGGGGTTTTGGGACGAGACAAGACCCTAATTAAATGTCATTCCTCATTCAACCATCAAAAAACAACATCGTGTGAAAAATAAACCCAAGTTGTCCCTGCATTTAAGAAACACTTCCTGAAGAAGTAAGGGGAAATGGACGCTAAATCCAGTGGCCAGTTTATTTCCGGATAAGGAACCGATCTGGAGGCGGGAAGAAAATCCGTGTCCCGCCCGGAACTGTGTCTCTTGGTCGCATTCACTCGGCGCAAACAACAGACGTTTTTCCCCCATGCACTTCTCTTACGTCCTGTACCATTATTCTGTTCGACTGGTTCAGTGACACCTCTCATCCTCCCGTGTGTGCATCTGGCGGGTGACACCCCAAGGCTAACACTCGCCCATTAAAACCGTAACTAGTCACACCAGCACTTGGCATGCTACGAGCGGCGTCGAGGAGGGACGACGACAATCAAGTCGCATTGCCTTTCGTGGTGAATAATTTCATTTCTCGTACAAAACTCCGTCCGCGAGACCGAAACACATAAAAGAGCTTTCACCCACCGGCGTCAGCGAGCGAGATTCCTCGCCTTCGGTCAGTCATGGTCTGTGCCGCGTGTGCAAACATGTGCCACTGCTGTTCGCGTCGAGCGATCGTACTTATTCTGGTGCTGAACTCCACGCTGAGGGCGGCTGCCTTCGAGACACGTAAGACAATCAAAACATTAACTCAGAGCAAGTGACAGACACTTTTTGCTACAGAATTACGTAAACTGCGCTGTGCACGGCCTTCAGCAAAGCACACAGCAGCTGTTAAAGGTCGGTGTGAGGTTTAAGGGAGTCTGAACACCACCATTTTAAGTTATTAAATGAAATTAACCACATCGGTTTACAAAGTTACAAACATCACACGACAAACAGTGATCTACTTTAATATTATCATCCTACCTCGCTGCTGCTTCCGGTAATTTCAGACAGAATTATGTGGCAGCACGGCCCGCCCATCACCACAGCTCAGGAAGTGACGTAGACAATAGAATGCCTTATTACGCGAACACAAAGAGCGTGTCTGTCCGCAGTTGCACAATTACAGCAGCTTTCTATATTTTTGCTTCTGTAATTAGTGCAGCGCGCCGAAAACGGCCTGCGGGCCACTATTTGTACACGAAGATTCACTCGCGACCGGACGTGCGGAAACGATCAGATCAAAGCCACGTGTGTGGTTCTTTCGGCAACAAAATACGTGCACGTGCAGAACCAAAGAGGAAAATGCTTTCGCTACTAATCGCCTTCAGACGCGCATCTCAGCTAAGCAATACCGGTATTTAAAAAAAATCAGTTCGTACCTCAAAGAAAACAACGATCTAATGGTTAATGCTTCTGGAGGAAAAATCGCTGTTCGTCCTCAGATTAATACGTTCACCCGGACTCAGAATTATTGCGCGTCAAAGCGGGTGGTGCGCTTTGAAAGCTGTTTTGGAGACCAAAGACGCGAACGGACAGACGTCAGTCTACCACGAAGTTAGGCCGACTGCGTTACACGACGAGAAGAGACGAACCGAAGACTCTCGTCCTGCACGCGACGACAGAGCTCGAGTATCAGACGCAGGAATTCAGTCACCCTTACGCCTCGGCCCTGAGAAATGGAGGCTGTTCATTTCATTGTCACGGCCAGGCGACAATTATTCTTGCGCAGTGCTCTGTATTCCCGCCAGGTGCGCATCCTCGCCTGCATACCAATGGCCTCGCCGATGTAACTTCTACGCAAATGTTCAGATAATTTTGCTCGCCCATCTTGAGCAGAGACGTTTTTTGAGAAACTGACATTCGCTTTAATTGGACCAGAAATTTCTCAACCCCGTTCATAAGACCGATTTTTCTCGTCCACACCCACAAATCATTTAAGATACGGTGAGATCTTAGGTGATGGCAACTTCGCCTCTAACCACCCCACGTGACTGGCAGAGAGGACCTTGAACGTCGTTGGCGATTCTAAGGCGCACGTACGTTTTCGTAACATCGTCAGCTGACAACTTCGGCCATTTACGACACAGAGCATGGTCGTCCCCTGTCTCCGTGCGTCAGGATCGTTCTTGGCTGAGACAGGTTACAGAAATCGAATACATCGCGCAGTTGTGAATTGCTGCCGACTGACATCCTGCAGCACCAAACTCTGTTCCTGTTCCGGTCGTGGGAAAACGTCCTGACCGGAATTACGACTGAAAAAGGAAACGATTTGCCACGCGGATTCGCCTTTTCCTGCTTAATTCAGCTCCCACGTTCAGAAACGGAGATGCTGAAGGACACAGAGTAACTTCTAAATACTATTTGAGGGCCCAGTCCGTACCGCGAAGAAAACACTACACTTCACCGTTACGAAGATCAACTGGTTAACGCTGTTCAAGGAAGTGAACACAAAATGCGCAGAATCACTGACTGTTAACGCAAATGGTACGTGTGGTTACCACCGGGCTTTAAAGGGTTGAGAACAGACGCTTCAGAAGAAGTCCTTGAAGATCACGTGATCTTTTCGTCGCTAGGAAGAAAGCACACCTCAGGTCTCTACATCGCTTTCACTTCGTAGCGAAGGCAGAACTCTGCCGTGTTTCGGAATATTGGGAGCGGAGCAGAGGAGGGCAGCGGGCAGGCCTCTAGAAGTGCTGTAACTCGTTGCGTGGCCGCTGTTAGGTAACTGCGGGAAAGTAAAGGCACGGGAGTGGAACACAGAACACAGGCTGACTCGCATCTGCGTGCACCTCGGCACAGATCGGAAAAACACACAAACACGGACCCCCAGTGACAGAGGCCGCGGTTGCGTTGAGGAAGACACACGAGGACCTCATAAACATCCCGTATTTTATAATTTAGCTTCGAACGTCGTCTGAGACGCTCCTGATTACAGGGACATTTCTATAAACGAAATAACGCAGATGAGAACGTGATGTGATGTCGCGTAATTTCGTACAATTTCGCCGTACAGGTTTGACCTGTGAGGTTAGTTACGGACGAGGGTCCCGAGGCCATTTGGGACACAGCCCTCTCCCATTGTGTACTTGTACGATGAGACTGCTGGATACATTTCAGAACGCATGCAAGTGTGTGTCCGAAAATCGCAAGTCCGCACTACTCTCCACTAAACCGACGAGTGTGACCCAAAATACGGAACATACTGTACTCTTTCTGTGTTAACTGGTTATTAGTGGCGGATTTGGTACGGCTGTTGCACGGATGCAGAAATGTCGACATCTTCAGAGAGACTCGTCTCAGGAACACGCTGCAGTGGCAGTCGCGGCGAACACTTACGCAACCAAATTCACGTTTACAGTGGCGGCATCTTCAGCGGCTTCGTGACAGAATGACAGTGTGTTACGAATCCCGCAATCCGCCACAGCCGTAAAACACCGGTTTACTTTCCTTGTTTGCACAACCTGCCGCGTTCCAGTACGCTGACAGGCGTTCTTTACGTCAGCCTTCCTATTCGTCAGAAATCATGATTAAATTCTACGTCCAAAACCGATTGATTCTTGCACGCCCAGTGGTAACTATGCATACCACATGCTTCAACAATCAATAAATCCTGATTTTCTACCCATATGTTTAGTATGCTTCTCAGTGTAAACAGCGATTATTTAATTAAACAGCGTTAACAGGTCGATCGTCGTAATGGTGGAATGTGGCGTTTTCTTCGCGGTACGGACTGAATTATTATGTGTTACTAGCAGAGTGTTGACAGCGCTACTGAGGCGAAACTAGCAAACTCTTGCCCGATCAATAGACACGCATTCTTCTCAACAAATGTTTTTCCCATGCGTTATTCTTCTGTCGTGCTTAGGTTCCGAGCTACAGGAAAGAACCGCCCTCATTGTAAGATCTTTCAGGCGTCCACACCAGCCCATGTTCGCCTCCTGGTTTGATGCAAATCGGGTTATCCCTTCTCGAGCTTCTGAGGGCAGAAAACTAAGGTCCGTCACGTGTCCACACAAGAGCCCGATCCTGAGACAGACGAACACAGTTTCCTTGAGACCCACCCGGTGTCATCCTCCCTTGCAAGCTAACGCGGCGCAAATGATCCGTCTGGCCGAGTCTTCCGAGTAGACTAATCTCAACTGCGCGGGGTTCGTCCGGGGTACGTGAGATCAGAAAGGCGCGCTTGCCCTGAACAGAACCTCTGTCTGTGTGTTTCAGCGGAGTACATTCTGCCGTGCAACAGGACAGACCCCGACATCAACAGCTGTATCAAGAGAGGCTTCACACATCTGCGGCCTTACATCGCGGATGGTAAGCTACCACAGCGAATCAGCTCGAAGGCGTGACCTTGAACACTACGCTGCAGTCACAGCGGCTCCAAATCGGTTTTGATGATGCGTTTTCAGTGGCTCACACTTACCTGTTTTTCCCCAGGCATCCCCGAGCTGTCGGTGCCTCCGATGGAGCCGCTGGTGATCCCGCTTCTGATGATGGAGAACGGGAACGGGGCCGTGCGCGTTCGGGCGGCGTTCAACAACATGACGATCCGGGGCGCCAGCAACTACTCCATCACCTGGATCAAGTAGGGACACGCACTTTGACCCACGTTAACACAAGAAACTGGAATACTCAGAGGCGTATGGGGGAGTGGAGGCAATTTCAAACTTGGCACAAGACAGACACAAGTGAATTTTGTGTCTTCAGATTTCAAAAGTTTCTTCTCCAAAGCCCTTGCGTTGTGACAGTTCACTCTCATAAAATGGCAGTCGGCCATTGTTATTTTACCTATATATATTTTTTCTCAGAATTTATTTTTAATTTAAATTTCACTTTACTTTCTATCTAAATATTTCCGACGGACGCCGAACAGAATTCTCAACACTAGCTCTGTCGATATATGCAGCGCGCTGTAACTCCGATTTATGGCTGTTTTGCTTCAGGTCTGATGTTTCCAAGTACCGCATAGAGATGGGGCTTGCCCTCCCGCGTATTGAGGCGACGGGCAGGTACGAGGTGACCGGAAACATCCTGCTGTTTCCGGTCCGCAGCAAAGGAGAGTTCCGGGCCGTCTTCTGTGAGTATCAGCTCTACTTTAACACCCTCCGTCCTTCTGCCGAGTAAAGTCGACAGAAACGCGATTAATGAGCCCCTGGTCCGCCGTCAGACTCGGCCTCACGCTCAGGGGAAGTCACGTTCCGCCTGACTTGCCATCCCCGATAAGCGGTGATCGTGTTTCATTCAGAAATGGGAGCAGAAGCTTCTTGCGTAATTTAGCGTAAAAGTGTAAATCACATAAAACAAATGAAGGCCTAGCAGCGTTTAAAAAGAAAATTTCCATTCCGCTGAAGATTTTGAACCAATTTATTTTGTTACGTAAACAGTCACACGTCGTAAGATAAAACAGAACAATATAAAGAGAGAAAGTTGGAATCGTACGCGCTGACGGCCGTTCTGACTCTCTCACATGAAGAGAAGAAGAGGAAAGCGTTTATTCACTAGACGGAAGAGCAGATGGTCGCATGAAGTGCTGAGGTTTCTTTGCGGTACGGAGTGAATTCTTAAATATAATTTATACGAGCTTCAGGGTTCAGATTTAACTGAGTTTGTCTGTTTGCAGACAATATCTCGGCGGTGAGCAAGATCCTGGGAAAGGAAGTGACCATGGAGGACGGCAAACAGTACATGAGGACAGACAATCTGTTTGTGGACTTCAACCTGGGGAAGTCTCGATTCAGGATCAAGGACTATCTCAACGACGGCAACATTCTGGGTAAGATGGAATCACTCCTGAGGACACGATCCTCAGATCCACTCGAGACGCGGAACACTGCACGGCCATTAACAAACTCCACCGAGCAGAGTCCTTCTTAAAGAAGCTGGTTTCTTCACGGAACCCGAAGGTTCAAAACAGAGCATCTCCCACCTGAGCCTAGGGCTTCACATTTGCTACTCCCCCGTAATCTAAACCGAAGCAAGGAGAGGAAGGTCTTCGGAAGACCTCTGCATTTTAACTCGCCAGAATCCAAGTGTTGTGATACCTGCCTCGGCCGCTCTGTCCGCAGGTGAGGCCATGAACCAGTTCCTGAACCAGAACGCCGACGAGATCATCAAGGAGATGAAGCCGGCGGCGTCCCAGACCATCGCGAGGTACTTCAGGGACTTCCTGAACGCCGCGTTCCTCAAGATCCCCATCGAGGTCTGGCTGCGCAGCGCCTAGAAGCTTCGGCTGTCAACTGGGCTGCTGCGATCAGATCGTCACCCTGACGATGGAGGCAGCAAGCAACTCTATCAGACTACGAGGCGCAATGGCCCATCAATCTACAGGGTCACCACATGCAGAATAATCTTCCGGGAACGGAGCAGGGCTTGTGCGCGGTGTGTGTTTGAACCACGTGTCCCTAGTGGCAAGCACTTCGAAACGGTCATCATAGACTTCAATTCGTCTAATGTAAATACAGAGTGACCTCTATAAAAGTACAATTGTTGCGTTTGATTTAAGGCCTGTTACTTAAAATGCGGAATAAAACATCAAGTCATTGTAAATTTACTTTACGTTAATTTTCTCAGATGCAAGTTCTTTAGAATGGACCTCATACACGGCCTGTCTACTTGAGTTGACACTCTGTATTACACCCTACACTACAAGAAGAGTGAAACGTGTGCTGAACACATTTTAAACATTTTATTAATACCACATGTAGTAATGTAAATGGAATTTAATATTTATAAGTAAGCTTTGAAATTTATTATTTATTAAAAATGACTAGATCCTTTTTTATTTAAAAGAAAAAATATACAACTAATCGACTGTGGACACAAAATTTCACTGCCTGTAACTTCCTTTTTCGGGCTTAAAATGTGGTGTGAAAATAAATATTTTCAGTAACGATAAATCAATTTACGGAATTCTGCCCACTTGTTGGTAAAAGAAACTTAAATAAATTCTCAGGGCATGCAAAGGTTTGGCCCCCGGCAAACGCGATCGCCGGTGATCTTAAAAAATCCGAGCTTCTTCAGCGCGATTAACATGAACTTCTTGCAAAGACAGATTTCTTTTCGTAAGAACGAAGCTGCTCAACATAAATCATCAACCCTCTATGTTTCCTACGCCTTTTGACATAATTCCAGCTCATTAAATCAAAGATGTCTTTGTTCAAGCAGAAATGTGCATCCAGTGACAGAATCTCTTCACTGCTGTCGTTACAAAACAATGTTAAGATTCTCAAGAACAGAAGGAACTTGACTCAGGATTTTGCAACACATTTTAAGTTCTTCTGGGTAGACTATTTCGTTACATAACACGAGCTAAATAAACAGGCATTCATATTTCTGCACTCACCGCCTGCCATAATTCGCGGAGAACGAAACTGAGCACTTTATTGAGAAAGACTTTTCAACATCTTCGGCAATCGCGTCTCGTTTTTAACACAACGAACATGAGAAAGTCTGCTCTAGTACGCAAAAATTCCCTGCAAAATGATTTCAATTACGCAAAGGCTTCCAACTTACAGACATCACATGTCCCTCTACAGTCTAGAAATTTATCTAAATCTACGGGGCACTGCCTCGACTTTAATTACGGTTTCAACTGCTTCACCAGTAAATCATCTGACGATGGAAGCCAAGCCCGAAACGGCCTTAACGCTCATCCAATAAGAGCCACTCTTTATGAAAGTAATGCATTAAAATGGACCAAACTGAAACTTTAATTGGATCAGTTATATTTCTAAGACTGAATGTAATTCGCAAGATTTTATTTACTAAAGTATCGCTTGATTGACTGAGTCGTGTTTACAAGAATTCATGTGACACAAGGGGTGTCCAGCGTCGGCTTCAAGCAGCGAACTCAAGTGTTCCGCGGCAAAACACCATTAAAACGTAGGTGGCGATCAAACTACATTCGTTCGTTCGTTCGTTCGTTCGTTCGTTAGGTGTGGTAAATACGCGATAAGAATGAGGCGTGTAGCTTGTACCAGGGCAGGGATGTCCTCCAGCATTAACGACCGGCTCGAAACTGATAAACCCGCCACTGCAACGTATTTGTAACAAGTGTCAACGAATCCATGATTGCGTATTGGACATAAACAAATTTGCGTGGGGTCACTGACCTCTGAGATCTTGAGCCGATGCGACAATTCTTCTAATATTTATTCATCCGAGCTTCGCTATCACAATCACCTTCACGTAGTGTCAAGGACTTGAAGCTATACCTCCATGCCCCTTATACGCCTTAAAGATTTGCTCCTATCGAGATCACTATGTACAATCGTCACAAAACGTCGTCTGTGATTGATGCAGCGTTGTTAAACAGTTCAAAAATGCTGTCCCGTTATCAGCAGAAGCAGAGGTGGCCTCTGACAACCCTGCCCGAAACGTCGCCACCGAACACAAATCAGAAATAGACGGAAAGGGACGGACGATTATACCCAGGCAGTGGAAACCTTCGCCTCATTCAGGGCTGCCAAAACACACACACACACACACTCGAAAAGTTTGGGTTTGGAAATTTCATGGGAGACACAGAAGTTTCAAGATGGACGTCACTCCCAAGCACGTACAAAATCTTAGTTTGGATGCCGCGTGCAAAACAGGCGCGGGTCTGATCAACGGAAATTGGAGAAAGGACTCGATGTTCAACGATGACTCAAAACGCACGTCGGAATTCACCTAAAATCACATAAACGGCGCCTTATAGTTGATACAGCTAGAACGCGCGAGACACGGAACGAACGCGGACGTTTTTGGCGGTGACACCTCTGGACAATTTCAACCGAAGCGAAGACGAAAGGATAACATTAAAATGGATCTTAAAAGACACGGGGTGGGCTTCTGTTACAGCTACACAGTCGGCAAACAAAGTCGAAGAAGGGCTTGCACACACAAAACGTTATCAGAATGCGCCAAGGCGTGGTGGTACTCAGGTACTCGAGGAGGGACGGACGGACGGACCAACTGAAGGGTCCACAGTTCGCACTTTGAAGCGGCAGCAGGCTTGCCAACCGATAAGGCGGTCAGCCTGCGAGCACGTGACAAGGGTCAGTGCTCCTAGAGCGCGGCCTTCTAATTGCGTCGAGCAGTTATTCTTCAGAATATGACAGTTGCTCAGCTGGCTAAGGAAATATCTATCCCTTATGGAAGCCAAGGGTTCATTACCGCGTTCACAAAAGCTAGTATTCTGCTTTTCTCAGTCGGTTCCTCGGCCCGCGGTCCCTTTCTGGTTCGTAAGCATCCGCGTTCCAGCAAACCATTCTCTTAGGAGATGTACGGGTATCACAGGTCGATTGATAATATTAAGTTCTATCTTGGCGAAGAGCATGCTGACGTAGCACAAGGCGTACTGAGCTTTTGTTGTGTCGATGACGAACCTCTCGGTCTCATCAGAACCGAAACACTGCGAGTGTCTCGGGATGGGCGGGACTGGGGGTGAACATTCCGAGACAGCGCAAAATCTGCACAGCTATGGAACTGGCTACGTTATGCCAAAACGCAGTTGATTGACGATATTCCAACTGCATAGGTTAGGGTCAAACGTCGAATCTTAGGACGATTATTGATATTACTGGACCATTTTGAGAAGTGGAGTGGCTGAGGACAAACAAGAAAAGTGTCACGATTCCCAGACGAAACATACCTCACCAGTGCCGTCGTGCCGCGTGTCAAGGAGTTCCGGGGAACTCGCAAAATGACGCATTCCTGGGTCAAGGAGCCTCAAGGTTAAGGGTGCTGTGACGCACAGAGGAGTTTGCGAAAACAACAGCAGAAGAAGATGAAACCGCGAGAAACTGATGTTCAGACGACGCACTGAGACAGATGGACCACATTGATACGAAAGAATTTCCTGCTCTTGAACTCCGTCTCATGAAACACGGCTCGTTGTTTCGGGAACGAGAAGTTCAACATCGACCTCACAAAAGCCAGCCACGGGACTCCATCCGATTTTAGGTACTCCATGTCCTCACGCCCTACTTGTGTGAGACAAACTTCAACAGAATCATCCTCCCACGAACGCCTAGGGAAAAGACAATGATTTCCCTAATGATGGAGGCATCAAGTGCCTCCGAAACGTCGGCTTCTACCAGGCTACACGGCGCTACAACCCAGAAGACGGCCACATTCACAGTCGCCGCCATGAGAACTCCAAACCCTACCTAATAAAAATCGAATTATGGTTAATTATTTTCGAAAACTCCGTCCCATGCGAAACCAAATCCTTGGTGCGACGTCGGAGGAATCTATGAGGATCAAGAAATCTTATGCAGAGAAGGAACGGACAGACGAAACACACCAGTGTTCAGTTTGCTGTCGGAAACATAAATCAGGCCGACGAGATTAATCACGATTCTCTGGAAGATGACTGGTCAATTGTACGCTCCATTTCGATCTCTGCATTGCCATGGCGACGTCAGTAAGTCCACAAACGTTCGTCAGCAGCGTTATCGGCTACCCCGAACAAACCTCGTTTTAATCTTTGAATCGCATCTTCATTTTGTTTGTAACAAATCTCAAGTGTCACTGTGTATGACGGCCTAAATTAACTTCGCGTGTCGAACCGAAGTCAAATTTGGGTCAGAAACACGTGACGAAACGTCTGGAACACACATTCACGTAACATGACGTGCGACGATAAGGTTGCGCCCGGCGGCCTAAATTAACTTCGCGTGTCGAACCGAAGTCAAATTTGGGTCAGAAACACGTGACGAAACGTCTGGGACACACATTCACGTAACATGACGTGCGACGATAAGGTTGCGCCCGGTGTGTTGCAGGCAGCCGACAGTCGTAGTAGAGCCGAAAGCTTTCTCCCTTCAGGGTTTCGAACCCGGAAGTGTTTGCAATCTTGCTAAGAATCTTTTGTCTTCCCGACTGCTGTCTAAAAGGATCCAAGATAAGAGAACTATAATTTAACATTTTCTTTTGTGCGGGTGTGAAACCTGGTCTCTCGTCCGAGTTATGAGCACAAATTGAGGGATGAAGTGGCCGGAGGGCGGGGAAAACTTCAACGTAGTTTGTGAGCCACTTCCCGCCAGATATTAATGCAGCAATTAAACCAACGAGGGAGAGATGAGAAATGCTTATAAAATTTCGCTGAAACCTAACCACAAAAGACCAATGAGACGTTTAATACCAGGGCAGACCTTAAATGAAAGGTTCCAGCGACTAGATCATGTAAACCTTCGGGTACCATAAACTACGGGAAATTTCTTGAGGCGCTGAGCGACTGTCAGCTTCTGAGGAAGGACTCTGCTCCTTGGA